CTCTGTGGCCTTGCCCCTAAGACCGAGTGACTGGGCGCACCCAAAACTCATTCAGAGAGTCAGGGCTGGACCCATGTGGTGTAGCCATGAGGAACACACGGGTCTGGAGAGAAGCGAGCCACGGACGGCACGGTCCCGTCACGTAACAGGAAACCACAAGAGTGCGAGACTTGTGTCTACATGGACACGGAGAAAAGCCGGACAAGAGCGTATGGTTGTCAGGGACGCCTGGGGGGGCTCTGTCGGGGAAGCGACGGACTCTTCATCTCAACTCAGGTCTTGATCTCAGGGTTGTGAGTTCAAGCCCCTGCTGGGCTCCATGCCAGGGCAAGAGCAGGAGGGCCTGGCGGCCGGCACCGAGGCTGTATCTCATTGTGACCGGGCCACTGCGCCCTCGGCATCAGGGCCTGTCCTCGGCCACGCCGCCCACACAACTCACCTCCCGCCCCAGCCCCGGCCACGCTGGCAGGGACAACGCCCACCTCGGAAGGGCAGGCTGCCCGGCAGGAGGACCGTGAGCGCACAGAGGTCGGGGAGCCCCGTCTGCCCGAGTGCAGGAGGGGTATGGCCGCCGCTGTGTCAGGAATGACATCTCCCGTCCAAACGCCTGGTCAAGGTCCCTCGCACCTCCTCCCCCCTGCAATTCTATGCACTCAGCCAAGCGTCCCAAGACACACACATCCAGCGAGGGCCAGCACACGCACCTGTCGGCCTGCCGGCCGCCGCGAGGACCCAGCCAGCCTCAGCACACAGGGACAGGTGCCCGCAGCCGCCCAGCCACTGCCAGCACAGAAGCAGGGATGCTCGCCCCCCCCGGGGCCTCGGCGCCCCTTCCTGCCTGCACACCCACCCCCACCTGGGGCTGCCCCCCGGGAAAAGAGCCCCCCCGAACAGCTCAGCTGCCCCGGCACCTCCTCTTCCCTCGCCCCGATCACCACGGCCGCTGCCCGGGGACTGCTGGCTCCAAGCACCAGGCGGCAGGTGTCACGCCAGAGGAAAGCCAGCCCAGGGAGTGGGGGGCTGGGACAGAGGTCTCTCCGGTCACTATCCCTGCTCCCCTGCCCAGCACGTCCTGGCTCGCTGTCCCCGACCAGCCCCGGTCAAATCGGGAGCGAACCCAGAGGCTCGCCTGGCCGCTGTGGGGGTCTCAGGGGTAGGGGATGCCTGGGAGGGGTGTGCTGCACACTGCGAGCTCTCATCCTCGTCTGCACATGCCCACCACCCCTGGGCCCTGTGCTGAGCACTGCGGACCCCACCCCGTGTAACCCCCACAATTCAGAAAGCCACTGGGACATCAGCCTCCACCCCTGTGGAGCTCAGTGACTGCCCACCGCCGCACAGCGAGCCCTGGCGGTCAGGACCGGGCCCCGCCCACGCGACATCAGGCCCTGGGAGCTGGGACACTAGAGGAACCACGTGGGAAAATGCCGTTCTTGCTTCTGAACTCTGCCAGGAGGCGCGGCCTTGCTGGGCCCGGGATGGACGGCTCTCCTCCAGAATCCACAGGCACCAAGGAGCCAGAGGGTTCCCTCGGTCCCCACGGAAAGGACGGGTAGCTGGGGTGACCCTAGCTGCTGGGGAGTCTGGCAGATTCGTGTCCTGCCCGCTGAAGCCACGGCCACTATCACACCTCCAGGCCCCCAGCCGCTGCTGGCGAGAGCAGGTGGGGCCCATGCGATCGGTCACTCACTCGCTCCCTCCTTCACTCGCTCGAAGCAAGCGCACAGAGCAGACGCCCCAGTACACGCTCTTCCCCAGGGCCTCGGCCGTGACCGGAACACCCCTGGCCAGGAGTCCACGCCCCAACAGAGCAAGCAGCGACAAACACCTCAGCCCTTCGGACAACGCCGCACATCCATGGACAGCTCTCCATGGACGCATCCGCATGGCTCCACAGAGGGGGCAGACGGGGACCCCGCTCGCAACCACCACCGGGGGCCCCTGAACTGTCACAGGCCCTGACCGCCCTCGCCCTGCAGACACACCGGGGGGGCTCACCGCAATCCGTCACCGCCTTCTCAGCAGCCCGGGGAGCTGCCCTGTGTCCCGGGGCTGCCCGGGATGGGGGGGACGGACCGGGATGTCACCCCCAGCTCGGCACCCACCAGCACTTTCCTCCACGGAGAGCCACGAGAGCCACGTGACAGAGGGCAGCCTCTGGACACTCCGGTGGACAGCCTCTGGGCCAGGAGTGGACAGGTTTGCATCCGGACTTCCAACCAGTCCCCGGCTGGTCCTCAGAAAGACCAGTGGCTCTGGTGAGACCGTCCAGGTTCTGCCCACTGGGCCAGCGCACTGCCGGGAGTGCTGCGATCAACTTGTCACATCTGCCACGGGCACCGGGAGGGAGGATGGAGAGGCGGCAGGCACGGAAGGGACACATCTGGTGTCTGGTGAAGGACACTTTGCAGAAGGGCCAGAGCATAGTACAACGGGAGGCGTCCACACTGAGGTCCACCAGAGTACTCGTGGTCTGGAACAGGCTCCTCCAGGGGCTCAGGGTGTCTCCCGCCCATGACAGGGCAGGTGGCGCCCGTCCACCACAACGGGGGAAGAGGACGCCACAGAAAGTCACCGGGGAAGGACAGCAGCACCTTCTGCTCTGACCGCGGCCCCCTCAGACCGACCCCCCGGCGGGCCCTGACCCACCCATTTCCTGTCTCCTGCGGTGCCTCCATCCTGGGGGGGCTGGAGGGTGCAGCCTCCGGGGGTTCTGAAGAATGCAGGTTCTCAGGCTGCGCCCAGACCTGCCAAACCAGCAGCTCTGGGATGAGGCCCCGCCTTTAGCACGTTACCACCTCTGGTGCTGGTGGCACTGACGATGGCCCAGAAAGCCATAAGGAGCTTTGAGCCCAGGTGGCACCCAAGACAGACCCAGCATCTCTGGGGGGTGGTGTTGGGATCCGTGTGCCTTAGAGCCCCGGGATGCCCGTGCACAGACCGGGGACTGGGAACCGGGCTGCGGACACTCCCCCACCCCACCACCCCTTCAGCTGGGGGCCCACATAAGGGGCCCCCACTCAGAGCTCAAGCTCTGTGTGCCATCGTCCCACCCATGTTTTCCAGGAAAGCCCGTGTCCCCATCCACAGGGCAGCTTTCCCCACAGAGCTGCCCCCAGGGAAGGAGACACCGCACCGTCTCTCGCAGACATCGCTCGGTAACCTGTACCCGGCCGGCACCCAAGGAGGGAGTGGCGGCCCCCCTCCGTGACGGCCCACATGGCCTGGCTGTCTCTTGGTCGTGACAATGACCAGAGTCCGCCTGGGGACCACCCACCCTGCAGCTGCCAAGGCCACTTCCATGCTCCAGTGAGGGGGGCCTTGGGGTGTCTGGCCAGCCCCCCCCCCCACAGGCTGCGGGCACTGTCCATTGCTTCATCCTGTCCTTCCACAGGGAACCCAGCCCAGAGAGGGAAGCACCTTCCCCAGGCTGCTCAGCAGTGATGGGCCTGAGCCAGACCAGGGTCTGCAGCCCCCTTGAGCTGACCCAACACACAGAGAAATGTCGCCCGAGTTCTCCGACCTTCAGCAGGCAGGGGCCGTCACTCCCGGCTCACGGACTGAAGCCAGCCCTGGGGGAGCCCGTCAGGTGTGCGGACTCTGAGCTCAGCCCATGACATGATCTCGGGCCCCCACTTCTGTGGGATTTGTCAGAAAACTTCCCCGCATCCCACATCCTCAGTCCCAAGGATGTTCTCCTGGTCTCTGGACTTTAACGTCACTTCTGCAGGAGACCCGGGGGCCGAGAACAGATCCACAGCCGGACGGGAGCTCCCACAAGGACCCCGGGTCCCCGACCACGTGGTACCCCAGCCCTGGAACGACCTCTCGTCCATGGAGGTCAACAGGCCACACGACACACATACACCCAACACCAGCCCATCACCAGGGCCCACCAGAGCTGCAGATGCCGTCCTCCTTCTACGCTCTGTGTTCATACGAGCGAGTGTCACGTTTAGGAAGGAAAAAATAACGATCACACCTAATTTCATCTTCAGCTCCCAGGGGAGTCGCCATCAACGCGGGCCCCATTTGTTTCTGCGCCCGGACGCGTCTTGGGGAGAAGGGGGAGCGATTTGGGACTTGGGTGCTCAGGGAGGGGCTGATCCTTCTCCTGGCTTCTCAGAGGGGATCTCCTCTCCCTCTAAAGCCTCAGACTTCGGGAGCCGCAGATATTCTGCTGATAAACCCCAGCTCCTGTTTCTGTTCTTCCGCTATGGATCAAAATTCACGGAAAACCAGAGCCCAACGGACTAAAACTTTAATTAGCAACAAGGTTGGGCCTTGTCCTGACCCTTGATGGAGCCAGAAGGTTTCCTACCCCTGGCTGGGAACCCAGAATCACCCAGAAAGACGTGGGGTCTGTCTTCCTAGACACCTCCGGCCTGGGCAGCCGTCCCCAGGACCCCTGCCAACCAACCCCAGCAGCTCCGGGAGCCCGGCCCTGAGGCCCTCCTCCTAGCTCTGAGCCCGCACTGTGCACCAACACCAAAATCCCCCAAGAGCTGACACGGTGCCCCCCAACAGCCAGCTCGGGACGGCTGCCCACTGCCCGGCAGCCCTGAGGAACCCCAACTCAGGAAGGGGCATACCTCACACTGGCTGCCGGCCTACAGTGCCCAGGGTCACGTGGGCCTCTTGCCGGGCACCCCCAGCTGGTCCCTCTCCTTGGGGCTATGTCCTAGAGCCCACGGACAACCAGGGAGGCTTCCTCCCTCCCCCACACACCCGCAGCGCCGGGAGCGCGACCATGGCGACCTCACACCTCTGTGTCGCCGGCAGAATGGGCCCCTCCTTTACCCACGGCGACCCCACAGGGACGCCAGGGCAGGGGCCAGCAGGCGGTCTTCTCAGCCGGAGGAACCAACCAGCTGCAGCTGCTGGACCAACCACTGCCCGTGCCCCAGGGCACCAGTCCAGAAACACCAGCGTCTCATCCTGCGGACGGCAGCGGCCCCAACAGACCGCCGCGCCCCTGCCCGCCCCGCGGCGCCGCCTACCTGGAGGCCGCGATCTCCGCCTTCTGCTTGGCGATGGTGGCGGCCCGCTCGGCGGCCTCCACGGCGCGGTCCACCTTCTCGCGGATCTTGCTGGCGCGCAGCGGGATGAGGTTCTTGCGCTTGCCGCTGACGAGCACGTTCTGCTTGTACTTGCCCTCCTCCTTGGTGCCGTCGGGGAAGGTCATGCAGCCGTAGCCGTGCCGCCGGTTGCCGGCCCACTCGCCCTCGTACCGGAGCCCGTCGGAGCGCTGGCTGACGCCGAAGCCCGAGCGCTTGTCGCTCTTCCACTCGCCCACGTAGGTCTCGGTGGTGGTGGCGTCGATGTCGTCCTCGATGGCGGCCAGCTCGGCCTCGGCCTCGCCCAGGCTGATGGTGGAGTGGACGTCGCTGGCCGTGGAGCTGACCGTGCTCATGCCGGCCTCGCTGCGGAACGAGCTCTGCTTGCTCCGCTGGCTGGCCAGGCTGCTCTTGGACTCGGACTTGCGCAGCTTCAGCCCGCTCAGCAGCGAGCGCCGGAACAGCCCCTTCTTCTTGCTCTTGAGGATGTCGGAGTCGCTGTGGGCCACCAGCACGAAGCCCCCTCGGGACACGGCTGGGCTGCCGGCCACCGCCGGGGAGGCGTCGGGGTGCAGCGCTGCGCCGTTGGTGTGCTCGCTGCGCAGAGAGTTGATGGACGTCCTCAGGGGCGAACGGATGACTGCCGCCATGCCGTAGGGGACACTCTGCCGCACCCCGTAGCCTTGGCGCATGCCACCGACCCACTGGCCCTGATAGGTCCCTGTGGAGAAAAAGGAGAGACGGGTGAGCCCAAGGGCAATGGTGGAAGAGGACAGGACACAGCAGATAAAGCGGACCAGCCGCCATGGTTCCGTCTTGGGAGACGGAGGGGGACAGGACACAGTGGACCAGCCGCCGTGGTTCAAGTCTTGGGAGATGGAGGGGGACGGGACACGGCAGACCCAGGAACTGTGGTTCCATCTTGGGAGACAGAGGGGGACGGAACACAGTGGACCAGCCGCCATGGTTCTGTCTTGGGAGATGGAGGGGGACGGGACACGGCAGACCCAGGAACTGTGGTTCCGTCTTGGGAGACAGAGGGGGACGGAACACAGTGGACCAGCCGCCGTGGTTCTGTCTTGGGACAACATGGTGAAGTCTGCTTGGAGGCAGACAGACCGCAGTGTTTTTGTGGTTGTATCACCGATGGTCTTTAGTAAAGACGCTTCCACCGTGCTCTCTACGGTGGCCTTCCATTGTCCTGGAAGTTGGAGAGGGGAAAGCCACGGGTCTGACGCAGCCAGGGGTGCACTGGAGCTCCCCCCACATGCGGGCAAAGGCCCAACCCGGGAAGACAGGGAGGCACCCAGTGGAGGAGGGAGAAGCATGTGCTGCTGAGTCTTCCCGAGCAGTCGTGGGGCCTGGGAATCCAGCCACGGGGACACAGATCCGGGCTACAAACCGAGTGTGAAGAGGCTGGCCTGGGAGGTGGCAAGCTCCCAGTCGCTGGAGGTATCCAAGAAGGGTTTGGAAGAGCAGTAAGTGGGACCCCTCAGCATGTGGGACACGAGGGCACTGCAACCAGCAGACCTGACACGCCCAGAAGAATCCAAGGCAGTACTTGCACACCCAACTCACAGAGGCGTCACTCAGAACAGCCAACAGGTGGAAACCGACCAGGTGTCCCTCTACGGACGAACGCGAAACCCAAACGGGGCCCGCCCACACAGTGGAGTGTCCTTCAGCCACAAAACTGCCGCCCGCTACCACGTGGGTGCCCCGGAGGACTCAGGGAAACAAGTGGGTCCCAGAAGGACACACGCCCCCCTGAGAACCTGGACAGGAGGGCCTTCCAACAGTCAGGTTCAGAGACAAAAGGGTGGGTGCCCGGGGTCGGGGTCGGGTGGAAACAGGTTTTGTTCTCTGATGGGGTCAGTTTCTATTTGGGGTGATGGAGAAGTTTGGAAAGTAGATAGACGGGATGGCTGTGTGACCCCGGGAATACAATGCCGCTGAACCACACAATGCGTGGTTAAAACTCCAGGTTTTCCAATATATAGAATATCCCACCACAACAGAATAAGAAGAAAAAATAAACCAACAGTCGCAGACTCGTATCCTTTGCTCTACTTACTAATTGTGTGATGGGAACCTCTCTGGCTCTCAGTCTCCTCGTCCATAGAAGGGAACTGAAAGCCCTCATGCAGTAAGTCACTGGAGGAAGAGGGCGGCCCTCAGTGTGGAGTCCGTTCCCAGACTAGGTCTCAACCCAAGTCCGCCGAGGGGCTCCCCACCCTGGAAGGGCTTTACACTCTTCCAACTCCCTGTCACAGGGGCTATAAACCAGAAACTCGCCAATATACAGGTTTATTTTGTCCAACAGTCTTCTTATAAAAAACTAGAATTATGGGGCGCCTGGGTGGCTCAGTGGATTAAGCCTCTGCCTTCGGCTCAGGTCATGATCCCGAGGTCCTGGGATCGAGCCCTGCATTAGACTCCCTGGTCCTCAGAAGCCTGCTTCTCCTCCTCCCACTCCCCCTGCTTGTGTTCCCTCTCTCGCTGTGTGTGTCTCTCTCAAATAAATAAAATCTTAAAAAAACAAAACAAAACTGGAATGCCAACATTTCAAAACCAAGACGTTTCACACAAAAGTTTAGCTCTTTGTTCTCCTACAATTACAGGATCTGGCAACCCTAAATCCTTGTTCCCAGATGGCAAATGGAGTACAGTTCAGCAGCGGCCACCTCCTCTAGACAGAGTGCACCCTCTGGTTTGCCCCACGCCCCACTGCTCCCTACTGTCTCTCACGCAGGCCCTCCCCTTCACATGCCCGCCCCACACCGGAGGTAAGACACAATCCAAGTGCGGAATCCAAAGTCTTGCAGCGCGGCCCCAGAAGACTTCATCCAGGGGTCTGTCACCCCCTTCGCCGTCCCCCACAACCCCAAGGCAGAATAAGTCCTGACCGCTCAAGGGCTTGTCTGACACTTGTCCACGCAGCCTGCCCTGACTCTACCCCCACCGTGCCTTTCGAATCCCACCCAACCCAACCCAGCTGCCCGCCCCCCGCAGTAACACCGTGGGTTACCCCGGTCCATGGAGCTGACCGCATTCCCACACAGGACCCGTGGCCTCCAGACCAGCATCCGGCACTCCACAGCAGGGGGGATGCCTGGCTTTGGGGGACACGTCTCCTTGCAAGCTGCCCAGAGGGGGCGGGCCTTGGGCTCTGACTCCTTCTTCTCCTCATGGCTGGTGCGTGGCCTTGATGGGGGATGGGGAGAGACGTCGCCAGGGCAAGGGGCCAGGACAAGGGACCCGGAGGCCCTCTGCTCCAACAGACAGCAGCCGGTCTGTCAAAACAGTGACTCACACACAGGTGCTGTCTAGGAGCAGAGCCGGAGACCAGTGTCCCCTGCAGGGACGGGTGAAGGAGGGAGGGCCGAGGCGACGGGGGTCTCCGCCGTGTGCATCCTTCAGCTCAACCCCACAGACTCACCGCACCCCGAAGGGGCGAGCTTCTGCGCCCCCACACTGCTCGGTCATTTGGCAGTCCCAAAGCTGGTGGGGGTGTGCCCTGCCGGGGGAGGCCGTCCTGGGTCCACTGCCCCAAGTGGAGGGGCAAACGTGGAGCAGCAGGGGTGCTCCCCACCCTCTCCCCTCCTCCCACCCCTGCCCCGACCAGGAGCTCTTCCTGCCTTGGGCTGCCTGTCCCGGTAGTGGGCACCTTCCCCCGGGGGGACCCCACCAGCCCCACAACGTCTGCTGCACCTTCCCGGAGTCAAGCTGGCTGTAAGCGGGGGACGGTCATGGGGGCGGGACAAAGGCGATGGCAGATTCTGTGTCACTCCGCAGGCTCTGTGTGGCCCACGCTGGCACAGAGACCCCGTCCATGGCTGGCACCCACGAGGGCTGTGAGGAGGATCCCGGGACCGGGCGCCGTGGGGGTGGGGAGGCCTGGGGGTAGCGGGCCCGTTCGGGCGGGCAGACCTCCTGTCCTAGCTCAGGCTGCGAACAAGCTGCCATCGCTGGGACTCTCTCCCCAGTGCCCAGGAGGTTCCTTCTCCTTGTGGCTCAGGGACGGGGCTATCAGACGCGGTCCAGGACGCGGAGTTAAAGCTGAGTCTCTGGGACACACTTACACAAGACGAACTTTTGGTGATGATATGAAATCCGAGTTCAGCTGGGACCTTCCATGAGGACACCTCAGGTTCTGCAGACGCGGGGCACGAGGGATGGCAGGCCCCTCCCCAAGAGCAGGACCTCCTGTGAGGGAAGGGAGCCTCGCCCCTGCCCCGCACACCTCCTTACACTCAGAGGAGGCCGAGGCTTACCGATGAGGAGGAAGTTAAAAAGGCGTCACCCGTGTGCAAAATGGGGCCCGTCCACGCAGCAGAATATCATGTGGCCTAGGAGTAGGACGTTGTCACACCTGCTACAGCATGGACGGGCCTGGGGAACACGACGCTTCCCGTGAAATCAGCCCGTCCCAACAGCACTAGCGCTGAGCAGTTCCGACGTCATGTGGCCCCCCGAGGAGCCGGTTCCGCGGAGACGGGCAGTAGATGGGGGGCACGGGGGCCCGGCGACAGGGCTAGGGAGCGAGTGCGCCGGGGGACAGAGCCCAGTTCAGGAAGGTGACAGAGCTCTGAAGGACGATGGTGTGACGCTTACACAGAATAAACACCCTTAATGCCACCGAACTGTACACTTTAAAATGGTTAAGATGGTAGATTTTATGTCTGCTTCGCCAAAATTTAAAAGAGGAAAGCAGCAAAGGCCCCCCAGGAGCCGCAGGCACAGGCTGCTGAAGGCTGCGATGGGCAGGGGCTTGCTTGGGGAGGCGTCAGCAGGACAGACCCGGGTTCGAGTCCCAACAGCACACGTTCTGGATCCGTGAGCTTGGGAGAGTCTGCTTTAACCGCAGCGTCCTCGTGGGTAAGAGGCGGAAGACAGCGTGCGGTGCCGGCGCGGGAAGGTCACCAGCACTCCCCGGAACTCTTCCTCACCCAAACCTTAGGGAGCTGGTACCCCCTGACTTCGCAGGTGAGGGAACGGAGGGAGGTGCTCCCGGGCAGGATCCGACCCCAGGGCCCACCGTCCTTCCCCCTCTCCCCCAGCACCCCTGTCCTGCCACGCTGGCCTTCCACGAGCCACGCAAGTCCGCGGGAGGAGCGGCGTGGCTGGGACAAACTGCGGCCTCTGAGACCCAGCCCCCACAGCAGCTGGGCGACAGCGACACTCGGTCCTGCGCTTGGGGCTCTCGCGCTCACGCTCTTTAAAGAAAAGGGGGGGCCGTTGCCTTCACAGGATGTGGATTTCACATCATTTTTTTTTTTTTTAAAGAATGTAATGATTGGCGCAGAGAAATGCACAGAACCTTAGTGGGCAGTAGGATTTCAAACTCCCCCAAACCAGGCAAAGGGAGAGCAGACGGAGGTCCGGGGGCTCGGAGAGCAGAGAGACGTGGGCTTCCAAACAAAGTCCTGCGGCCAACGGGGCCTGGCCGAGGGAGCCCAGAGCAGGTGCACCGCCGGTCAGGCAGCCAGAGCCCCGATCTGGCGGCCTGGGGTGACAGCCGCGCCCCATGCTAGGTCCACAAGTAGCACACACACGTGCTCGGGGCTGGGCGTGGCCAGAGACCGCAGTTTGGGTCCATGTGCACGTCTGCCCCCGTGGGACCCCATCTCCGAGGCTATGGCCGCGTCAGTGAGAAACCGCATTTGACATCGTGGAAACGGCAGAGCAGCCCGGCTAGGACCCGCGTGGAAGCCCGGCCTT